CTGAAACTTTTTTGGCGGGTAAATGACTAACTCGAGAACCAGAAAAGTTGGGAGGCTCAGACTCTGAAAAATATTCCCCATTCAAATAAGACTTAAATTTTCAAATTCAGCCTTCATTTACGCGTGATTCTCGTGTACGGACAATTAAATTTCTGACGGGAAAATTACTCATTGAACAGCTGAGTTATTTTCAAAAAATACCGCCAAACGGGAATAGTTCATTTCTTTTTATGCAAAAATTTACGATGATTTTCGACATTAGGCACATAAGGTAGGTGCGAAGGGACAGCAGTTGACGTAATTCAAGTATTGTGCAAAAACGCATGATCGCACCGGCTAGCCTGGTGCGTTTCAGCCTGGGTTTTCAAAGATGTGCAGAACTTACACGTTCTACAATGAGAATCAATCAGCTGAGCAATGTTTTGATTCCACTGTTAAGGCCTGCTAAGCGGAAAAAATGAATACTTTAAAGTAATGTAGTGCTTGCACTGTACGTGTTTTATCATTTGTGCATCCAGAACTCATTGTGCGGAATAAAACAGAATGCAAGCAGCTATTTGTCAGTAACAGCAGTTGACAGCCTCTTACGAGGTCCAGTTATGATGACGAATGGAATGTCTACGACTTGAAAGACTAAAATATTCTTGTTCATCTAGTTTTTTAATATAACTTTACTTTTTTATATATTTCATAATTAATATCTCTATTATCTGTATTTCGAACAGCAACCTAACAGGATCAGGGCTACCTAGCAACGTGTACCCTTTTTAATTCATATAAAAAATGACCTGTGGAAAGACGTTTATTTTATAGTGAAATTTGTGGCACAGCAGGAGCCGTTCCATCTGGCATTTGTTGCTACTCACTGAGTGTAGTGGCGTTGCTATGCCAGTAATTTAACTCGAAAATATTCGCTTGAAAGTACAATTTGAAAAATTAGCACTTTAGTGCAAAATACTAGCAAATCTTTTCCCTCTCTCCTCTGATATTTTACCTTTCGTCGAAAAGAAAACCCAGTAGCAACACGTACTAGTGCTACTAATGCGATCACGCATATTTGCAAGCCTGAAAGTGGCCGTATCGCCCTGCTAGACGTTACCATTCGTGAAAGCTGCTACTACTTTTTTCATGTTCCATAGACCACGTAGTATTCCCATACACTTACATTTCCCTTGTCTATCACGTTACTGAGAAAAAAGATGACGACAGTGTTGATTCCAAATATTTGATACGTCTGTACGTGACCCATGCATAAACAGAAGCCCAATTTACACTTGCTAACCCAGCGAACGAACAGCAAATATTCTCAATACTTCTTGTATGTTTTGGTCACTGGGGTAGTTGGATTGTAACAATGGTAAAAATTGGCCAACGCACGGGCTGCCCGTGCGAAGATGCGTTTTTTGCAGAGTTCCCCGCAG